TTAATTCAGTGTTGTGTGACGGCCTCAGCGGTCTAGCGGTTTAAAACACCGCTTTACTTCTGATGGTCGCGGGTTCGATTCTTCGCATGGTACAAATATTTGTATTCATTCTTATAATTGTTTGCATCGATCTCAGTTTTTTCTATGTATATTAAGTATGTATTTATAAATATATATATACTAGCTTTTGCCCGCGGCTTCGCTCGCGTAAATTTATCCCTTTAGGGGTGGAATTTATCAAAATTATTTCTTAGGAGGTGCCTACGTCATAGTAGCTTTATGTATGCAAAGTCTCAGCCCGATCAGTTTAAAATTGACAAAGTTTCATACAAACTTACATCCCCTATTTTATCCCCTTGGGGGTAGAATTAATCAAATCCTTTCTTAGCGGATGCCTACGTCATAACATCTACCTGCATGCCAAATTTCAGCCCGATCCGTCCAGTGGTTTGGGCTGTGCGAATATAGATCACTATGTCAGTCACGTTTCAGTTATATATATTTAGATATGTGAGAAGCGGAGGTATCTAATATGTCTGATGAGTGAGAGGTGCTGAGGGTTTCAATAAGGAAAGTACGAAGATGAAATAAAATGCGACTAATATGACAGCGATATATATATATAATAGAAAATTACAAAAAAAATATGTCAAAAAAATATGATTATAAAATTAAAAAATAATATACAAACCTATCGAGGAGTTCGCTACAATATACATTTATATCAGTTGTATAATACCTATAACACAAGCTCTGCTTAGCTTAGGACTAGATGGCGCTGTGTGAGTTATCCTTTGATTTATTAGTGTTAAACTACGGAAGTTCATTGTACCAAATATAAAGTTTGTGATCATTTAATTCCGCCTCCTTTGTTGTATACGTGTCTAGCGTCGAAATGACATTTCAGCAAACTGTTAACTTTTTTGGTCTAAAGTCGCGTATGCACTACACAACACTCGCTACTACCGGTGCCCCCGGTCGCCACTCCGATCGAACCCCCCTCCAATTCAAACGGGGATCGAAATAACGACGACCTAAGCCGAAGTTCGAACCCCTTACGGTGCCCTCAGAATAAATTTGAATCCGTCAGGTGGGTTTGAAGTGCCATTTGCACTCGCCTCGTATTGTCAGGTGAAGCTGTAAAGGCCAGCTGCGGCCAACAGCATTAGAGTAGTCTATGTGTGTACCTCAGTCACACTTACAGCGAGTCAAACAGCTTTGAAAGCTGTGTATTGTTTATAGGTTGCAAATTAGACAGTGAAATTACAGAATAAGATGTATGATCTTAGTCCTCTGGAATTCATTCATAATTTAAGAACTTTCCACGATCTTCATGCTCTTTAAATGTTGATACGACATTTCCATTTTGTCTTTGTGAAGAAGTATACATACATACTTCTTAGCGAGTTGTTACTTAGCAACAAACATTATAAATACTATCATTACTATATATAAAAATTATTTCAATAAAAAATAGTGTGTAGCAGAGCGTATTCTCTTTTGTTAAGGGCTCAATTTTTGTAACAGCTATTTTATAGGAATTCTCATAAAATCGTTTACGTTTTTCGCTCTACTACCATATTAACATTACTTAATAATCTTTAATTTGCTTGATCTTTATGAAGCCTTGGCCTTCCCCTCCCCCTCTTTTTGCCTCAATAATAATTTTCACAATTATATCGTGCCGTATCAAGTATCCTAACATTTTCCCTCGTATATTTTCTATAGTATTCAATATCTGCCTTATTTATTTGCCCTATGTAGTACATCTTCATTTCTTACTTTATACGTAAGTGACGACCTCGGTGGTCTAGCAGTCTAACATACCGCTTTACAAATGATGGTCGCGGGTTCGATTCCTCGCACGGCACAAACATTTGTATGATGATCATGCGTATGATTGTTTGTATCGGTCTGGGTGTTTTCTATGTATAATATGTGTGTATTTACAAAAAAAAATACATATATGTATTTGTATCAGTTATCTAGTACCCATAACACAAGCTTTAGCTAGCTTAACTTGGGTCTAGATGGCGGTGTGTGAATTGTCCTGAGATTATTATTATTATTATTATTCTTACTTTATCTTTGCAGCTAATTCTATCCATCCCTTTCCAACACCACATTTCAAAAGCCTTTGTCTCTTTCATTTTGATTTAACGTCCACGTCTCACAGGCGTACATATACTCCAGCTTGTCAGAGATTCTAATTACAAAAAATAATAACAGATTATCTGTCTGTTTGTCAGGTACGTCCTTGTGAAGCCGAAAATGTATGTAGATGATTATGTATTGATTTGTATGATTTTATTGCATTACACAGTCGACATATTTAATAGTTCATTAGCAGCTATACGAGGACATTAATAAATGGTGTCCTAATGTTTACAATGTTACATAGTATGAAATGAAATCGCTTCCGCTATCTGTTCGCTTAGATCTTTTAAACTACGCCACAGATTTTAATGCAGTTTTTGGTAATAGATAGAGTGATTAACGGATAATATATATTCATGCGGAACTTAGGCAAGTAGATAGTTTGTTATAAATAAACATATAAAAATATAATTACAAAACATTTCTTTGTAAAAAATCTTATTATAAAATTGAAGCATTTATAAATGATAATAATTTGTAGAATAAAATCTAATTTAAAATTCAAAGCACTGACAATGTTACCTGATTGAACAAAGATTGATTGTGTAACGGTTTCTATGTTGATTGTCGCATACCTAATCCTTGTTAATATATATCTACTTAAAATATCATTTATTTAAAAGAGCAACACACAAGTTTCTTGCTCGTTCTTGTGATAGGTCTGCGTTCCAAATGAGTGATACCATAAAAAATATGATTATATAAAAGTGCTTATGTTAAGTTTATTTGAATTGATAACATTATTTCTATTTCTTTCTATATATATATATCCATTGTAAATACTTCTACAATATATGTACATAACAACAACCTGGTGTCATCTTTTCATCTCCTCCTTTCCTGCTACTGCTTGTACCAGACAAACACATATATATATACGAAATATGAGCGATCCCGTCTTAGTGCTAAATATTTTTTTAGAGTAACGTTATATATAATTATAATACTTATCAATACGTTATCTAACTGGTAATCAAAAGTGCATAACTTGTAAAGTAACACTAAAAATAGAAATCCATTAAATAAATAATATATGATATCTAATCATAATAATAGACAGATATCAAAATAAATATGACTTACAATATCTTTCTAGAAACGTCACAAATTTCGTACGCGCTATAAATAGCACACATAAATTCGCAATAAACCCGGATAGATAAAGGAATTATGAGTTTTACGAGTTTCACTGATAAATATTTTGAGAATATTATGCATAATTTTCATTGTCCCTTAGACTGATAACATTACTCACATATCCGTGTCGCGATGAAATAGCAGTAAATTAGCAATTTTATTTATTCACTAGCTTTTACCCGCGGCTTCGTTGGCGTTAATTTATCCACTTAGGGGTGGAATTTATCAAAATCCTTTCTTTGGCGATGCCTACGTTATAGTAGTTTTATACATGCAAAGTCTCAGCCCGATCGGTATAAAATTGACAAAGTTTGATACAAACTTTCATCCCGTATTTTATCCCCTTGGGGTAGAATTAACCAAAATACTTTCTTAGCGGATACCTACGTCATAACATCTACCTGCATGCCAAATTTCAGCCCTAACGCACTCAACGCACAGCCCCGAAACACTAGACGGTGTTTCGGGGCTGTGCGTTGATAGATCACTACGTCAGTCACCTTTGAGTCATATATATTACATTTATTACAGGCAACTAGGCCCATTTCATAAATGAGGTCAGGTCCGTTAGCCCATCATGACAAATTCTTCATGCTTAAACACCCAGACCAATACAATCAATCATACTCATGTTTGTATGAATGCAAACGTTTGCATCATGCGAGGAATAAAACCAGCAACCACTAGCATAAGGTTGTGGCTAAACCGCTAGAATATCGAGGTCGGCAAAAGAATATCTCAGAAGAATTAATAACTTATTAATTTCCGCCAACATTCAACTGTTCAAACCTCTAACAATAATAATGTAGTGACAATGGAAGTGTTTTATAAACAAAATGGTTATTATTTACATATTTTATTATTATAACATTACGAATGAATACTCTCTCGCATATCATCTCAGTGGACAACACGAGAGGCGACAATACGATAGTTGAAAGTGCATAGAGATGACTTATTTATTTATAGTGACAGTACTGTGGTTAGGTGTGTTTGTTTTTTTATTTTCTCGGCGATACTTTACTCTATTTTTTTTACAATTCACACAACGCCGTCTGGTCCCACGCTAAGCAGAGCTTGTGAGCAGGTCTAGTACCCAATAACTGATACAAATACTTTTTCGTACATACATATATATTATACATATAGAATACCCAGACCGACACAAACAATCATACTCATGAATATAAATGTTTGTGCCGTGCGAGGAATCGAACCCGCGACCATTGGAAGTAAGGCGGTGTATTAAACCGCTAGACCACCGAGGCCGTCTAAGTGGTATTTAGGTACAGCTGCTATTTTATTTTATTTAATTATCATGTAATCAATTTTCCAGACGAGATTTTACAACTGTTAACTAATGTGCTTATAACATTAGTTGACAGTTGTAAAATCTCGTGAGAATTGTTTCTCTATTGAGAATCTAGCCGCAAATATATTCTAGCTATAAAAAAAGGTTGTTGTAATTGCATCAAATTACGAAATTTATGTGATTTTTCCGTTGTTGTATTGCAATCTTCTGAATTAAACGTTTTCTCGGCAGCGATAAGTATTAATTTATGAATTAGGGAAATAAAATATGATTTATTCAGTGTTTTTACAAAAAAAATAGAAATAATAAAGATCTACCAGACCAGATATCGACCAGAATTTCATTTTTTTTTTATTCATAATAATGGAATGGGGCTCCAGTGGAGTATGATAAGATGAGCATGAGGTCAGGTCAGTTAGGACGTCAAGATGACATGAAACATTGCTAGAAATGGGGTCATCAGTCCACATTCCTAACAATCCCCTTTCCGCTCTATGAATTATTTCATCTCAATATAACCGTTTTTTACTACACGCATACGAATATAAATACGATACAATTACAATTTACATTTGTTACAATACGATTACAATTTTTGTTTGCCTGTCCGTCATTTTGTTCTGTCTAATCTCTGAAATGGCTGAACCATTTTGACAGCATTTTTTTGGCAGATAGCTGATGTAAGAAAATGTAACTTATGCTACTCATATTTTAGAAAATTTCTTTTATATTAGAAAAATAAAGACAAATTCCCCCGGACGAAGTCGTGGGTGCAAGTTGTATAATAAGAAAGTACCAGTAGGTATCTGATATTCATTCTCCATTACTTTATATCGGTATTAAATTTCTTATATGTAACTTTGACACGCTTCTTGACGAAGCTACCGGATCGGAGGTTGTATAACGTTTACAATACGTGTTTTTATGTAATTGGATTGGCAAACAAGACGACGGTAAGTGGTGACCGTCGCCTCTATACGCTAGTAATACGGACATTACGATAGTCTGAAGCCTGGCACATAACTTGCTGGTGGACTGAGATGACATGCCTTTTTTTCGGACTACTCCAATGTTATTGGCCGCAGTTGGCTTTTACAACTTCAGTGAAGGATAGAGAGCGGATGCAGGCACACCAAACCCGCAGGACTATGCTATTGGTTGTAGCTGACTTTTACAACTATATCGGACGATAGAAGGCGAGTGCAGGTGGCACTCCACACTCGCAGGACTTATGAAGCGGCTGAAGGCAAATTTCCGCCTGACGGATACGACTTTAGTCTGAGGGCACTACTAGAGGTTCGGACCTGGGCTCAAGGCGCCCTAATTTCGAGCCTCGTTTGAATTGAACGGGGGATCGATCGGACAGGCGGCCGGTGGCAACGATGTGGAGCGCGCCCGGTTGATTGAGGTCATCGTCTTCGCCGGCGAGGACGGTGTCTTGCCTATCTAGTAAATTCACCTGTAACTTACCTTACAACGGTAAATATTATTACTATATTACACGTAATTCATTACTAATAACGTGTACAGAAATCTACCGATCAAAATATTTTACTTTATACCATACGATAAGATAATTCTAAATTTGGAATGATTAATTTGTTTTATTACAATTTTGTCATTTCCTTTGTTACAATCGATTAAAAATATGAAAAGGTAAACAAACAAGTAGAAATGTTGATATAAATAAATTTACATAAGAATTGGCCTTTGGCCTCGTGCAAATATGAAGAAATTAAAAGTAGACTAAGCTGTACGGTTTAAGGATCTTTACTGGAGAACTGAAATAATACATACTTAGATACATACATACATAGCAAACACCCAGACCAATACACACAATCATACTCATGAATACACATGTTTGTACCGTGGGAGCAATCGAACCATCGGAAGTAAAGAAGTGTAAACCACTATATCACCGAGGCCGTCAGTTATGGTATAATATGCATAAATAAATAAGTAAATTTTTGCCAGATAAATGTACATAAATAAATAAGTAATTTTTTGCTAGATAAACGTACATAAATAAATAAGTAAATATTTGCCAGATAAATGTACATAAATAAATAAGTAAATTTTTGCCAGATAAACGTATATAAATAAATAAGTAATTTTTGGCCAGATAAACGTACATAAATAATAAATAATTTTTTGCCAGATAAATGTAAAAGACTACAGAATTTTCTTTTTCAGATTTCGTTCTGTCTGAAGTGAGATACGCACCTGTTTGGTCATATGATGGTAAGGAAATCATTTTGCACACAGTAATCCTAAGGTTCAAGTCTTTGAATTCGGTAAATTTGTGTGTAGTCTACATATGTGTGGTTGTATGATGTTTAGAGTTACATATACATACTACATACATGTACCTATGTGTGGGGAAAGGGGATTGTTAGTAATGTGGATTGTTGACCCCATTGCTAGTTTTTTTTTTATGGGTGATAATGGAATGGTGCACCCGCCTGCGCTAACGGTTTACGCTGGCGGGGCACCAGTGGAAGATGATAAGGTGTGTATGAGGTCAGGTCAGTTAGCCCATCGTGACAAATTCATCAAAAATTTATCACGTTGGTTTCCAGGGGGAACCGCGTGGGGGTCAACTTGACACGGTATATTGCTAGCAATGAGATCATCGTTCCACATTACTAATAATCCCCTCTCCCCCCCCCCTTCGCCACCCCCCTTCCCCTGGAAAACATCATGATGAATTCCTGGTGAATTTATCACAATGGGCTAACTGACCTTATCATACTTTACTGAACTTTATAGAAAATAAAACACTAAATTGAAAGCCGCGAGTCCATCCGATCGCTTAGTGTCACAAGTCTTCACTCGGCTATGTTCGGACAGACATTCGGCGGCCGGATATTCGGCTGTCTGACATGAAGGTAGGCCGAATATTAGGCACAACAACTATCCGTTTCATCTCTCGATTTAACATTATATTATGAAAAACAAATACTAACAAATGGGCCATTAATGCCAAAAACATCTTTATTATTAACAATCTACTTGAATAAAGGTATTTTTATTTGATTTTTTATCTTTACAGATGAGAAGTCCTGGCCCGGTACACAGTGCAAAAATGGCGGGAAACGACAGTCACCCATAGACATACGGACTACTGACGTCATCAATGATTTCTCCAAGCAATTCATCAAATACGGACCGCTTGTGTTCAGCGGGTACCACAGTGTATTGGTATCTGGTATCAACAATGGACACACTGGTAAGCTGTAACTCAAAATAACATCGTATATACAAAGCCAGTACTTTGGTGCCTGCATTATTTTGATATTAAAGATATAAAAGCATATCTCCGTTCTCGGGATACTCTGTGACAAATTTCTCCAAGATCCATTTAGCTGTTTAGACGCAAAAAAAGTGACTGACTGACAGACTGACTGACTGATATATTGGCGTTTATAATATTCCAATGAATTTTTGGGTATTCTACTCAGATTTTTTATTAATTTTTTTAAAAGAAGTTTAAAGGAAGTAACAAATAAACTCAATTGATTTTATTGCAATTTTTTATAAACAATCGCATAACCTTGTAATATATAAGAAAAAAACTTTTTGTAACTACAATCATATTTTCGATTCAATAAACCTGATTATTGTTATAATTAAAGTATACTTGGAGTGTACAAGTGATTAATATTTTAATTGATATAATGAAGCTATTAGAAATCTAACGCACAATCCTTGTTTCAATCACTTTGAAACATTTATAACAATTAACGTTCTTAATACAAAATTACAGATTTCCGCGCGCAAATCCTAACTAAATAAGGCAGTATACAACATTTTCAGTGCCTCCTATTTAAAAAGTTTATAAAAAAAGAAAATAAAACGCCGTGATACATGTTCATTGAAATTAGTGGACACCCAGAATTCGAAATTCGAACATAATTTATTTAAAAATAAAGACTATGGACAAATAATACTAAAGACAAACAATATTAATCTATTCTCAATTTGACCACAGACTTTAATAATAAACTATAGAGTATATATGTCTGTGTGTTTTGAATACATGGGTGTGTGTATGTTTTTCTTATTGATTGGATGTATTTTTTTATGCAAAATAAATATATTAGCATTCTGCACTCCTCTATATCCTCTCCGATCGATCCCCCATCCTATTCAAACGAGGATCGAAATGATGGCTTAAGCCGAGGTTCGAACCCCTAGTGGTGCCCTCAGACTAAAGTCGTATCCATCAGGCAGGAGCTGGCCTTCAGCCGCCCCATAAGTCCTTCCGCGGGTTTGGAGTACCATCTGCACTCGCCCCTTAATGTCCGGTGAAGCTGTAAAGGCCAGCTGCGGCCAACAGCATTAGAGTAGTCCGAAAAAAAAAGTGCTCCACTATATAAACAAGCACAGATAACATAATATTACATACTACAAGTGTGCGAAGTTTAATATTCCTCCATCCGAGCAATTTTCATAAAAAGAAGTGTAAAGTTTTTGCTTCACATATTATAATTAGATAAGGAGCGAAAATGATAAGGTTTACTGCGTTTTATCGATTGTGTCGTGTCAAATATAATAATTAATACTAAATGATCTGGATCCAATTATTATAATCTGTAGTTATTATTATTAGATATCTTTCAATTATTTATTTTCCAAAATTTCACAATGTGCACCTACTCAACCTTTTTTTTATAATAATATAATAATAGTAATAATCCACACGTTGATAATATTCAAGAAAAATTGTAGCTGCTTATCTGTTTATAACCTTTGCAGGACCAAACGCCTGAACGTGACGTGCATTATATAATAATAATAATCTTTGCCATCTCCTCTCCTTAAGAAGGGAGATGAGAATTTTTATAAAGTTTTATAATAATAATAATCTCAGGACTATTCACACAGCGCCATCTAGACCCAAGTTAAGCCAGTTAAAGCTTGTGTTATGGGTACTAGATAACTGATACAAATACATAGTTTACATACATACATATTATACATAGAAAACACTCAGACCGATACAAACAGTCATACTCATGAATACAAATATCTGTGCCGTGCGAGGAATCTAACCCGAGACCGTCGGACGTAAAGCGGTGTGCTAAACCGCTAGACCACCGAGGTCGTCATTATATTAAATTAGTATAAAAACACATTATATTTAATAAAAAATACGATTTCGCAGATGACAACTGTAAAAAAATTGAAGTTTTAAGAATATTATCTTGTTTAGAGTGTTAGACCATGTGTCTGTGTCCTAAACACATGGTCTAAAACACTAAACTTTAATAGTGACAATGAACAATTTTTTTGATACAGTTCCCATTCTTAACATTGTAATAATCGTACTACGACGTTCTCAAAAAATAAGAAAGGATTTTAACGAGTACTTTGCGTAGGTACTTATTAAAATAGTTCTTAATAATATGCTTTATCCATATATGTATATCATTGGACCAGGAAGACTTAAAACATGAGTAATTATGTTAATAAAGTACATTTATATTGACGTAGACATGTCAAGTCCCAATATACGCGTATTGTTGTCTGTATCGTTAAATATTGCGTAAACTAGCTGTTACTCGAGACTTCATGCGGCTGAAATTAAACATTTTTATGGTTAATATATAAAAATTCTAAAATAAAAGTAGCTTAAGTTACTGGTTTTAACATTAGCTACCTATAAGTGAGTGAAAGTCCTGTCAAAATATGACCAGCCGTTTCAAAGATTGTTTAAGAAGAAGTCTAAAAAAGAAAAAAGTTAGTCTCGATAACATCGGCCCAGCCGTTTGAGAGAATAGCGACAACAAACAGACAGACAAACTAATTTTTCTTTTTAAATAAATTTCTTTAATACCTTACATACTCGTAATTTCAGATACATTTAGTGAAAAACTGTTAATTTTTAATTACAAACAGACATTTAAATTTTATTTATTTGCATACATTAATAAACTTACATTTGGAAATGGGAACCTACCAGATATGGTTGTAACAAGGTTAAATTTATCAAACTGGTTTTGGCCAGAAGTACTTATGCTTTAAAATACCCTTAAAACGAATGTATAGTACAACAACAACCGGATCAGAGAATATTTTGACTTCAGATCTATCCAATCAAAATCTGTGCAGTTCTTTTTCTCCACAAACCAATTAAATCGTTTACAATGTCTTATATTCTTAATATATATTTTTAAATTTACATTGTAATTATTGAATAGTAATTATTTATTTATTTTTCTGTATATAATCTGTAATTTAATGCGTTGTTTTTTATTTACGTTTATCTTATATAATGATTTATATGCAGCTATCAGCATCGTTTTTATTGTGTGATGTAATAAATGTTATTCTATTCTATTCTAATTAATGTAAATAAAAAGACAATTTAAATTGAAATAATGATATTTATAAAAAACTTGCTGTACCCGCATGAATTTCGGCTTTTCCTCTGTCTATTTTATTAATATATAACTTCTTCTTAAATCACTGTATCTATTGCTGGAAACAGTATTAAAATCCCTTGAGTAGTTTAAAAGAAGCGAAGTGTTATGTAATATTATGTTATCTGTGGTTCTAAGCGAACAGACAACGGAAGCGACTTCATTATATACTCTGTAAAGATTGTTTGAATGAATTTTTGAATTAATACGTTATGATACGACACAAGTTTAATCGAAAATAGACTCCTTTCTTTATAAAGAACATTTTTTGATGTCATTGCTACATTAAAAACCGTATCATCCAGTTCCACTAGCTATTTCATTTAATTTTATCAAATTAATTTCGTTTATATAATACCCCTCCTTAAGCTGGAAGACTTACTTCGAAATTTCAAGCCTCCATTCGGAACCTCTTATAAAATATTCATTTTCGAAAGTATTTAAAGGTATTTTAATCAATTATGTTTCTTAAATACTGGTAGAGCTTCCTAGCTTAGTGTTGGCAATAAAGATTTTATCTATCTATTAATTTTTTTTTCAGTGCAGTTCAGTACGGAAGGAGATGTGGCAATTCACCCAACACTCACGGGTGGCCCTCTGGAGCATATGTACCGACTCGAGCAGGTGCACTTCCACTGGCTTTCAGAACACTCCATTAATGGTATCAAGTGAGTTCAGTCAGTCAGTCGTTTGTACTTGTTTTAGAATGGCAATGGTTTATGCTGGAGGAGCATCAGCAATTCCACGCTGATGATAGGATAAGTCATATCATGAAATCAGTTCAGTCATCGTGTTTCTTTAAAATGTTCGTCAAAAAGTTTTGTCGCTTCTGCTATCTATTCGCTCAGATCCTACGCAACGGATTTTAATGTTGTTCTTATCAATAGGTAGAGTGATTTCAAAGGAAAGTAGGGAGGGTAGCTAGTTTAATATTTTCATCATTCATCATTGCCTTGCCTTTATCCCATTATTTAGGGTCGGCGCAATATATCACCCTCTTCTACTGATCTCTATCGACAATCATATCTGAGCATACTCTCCTTTAATTCATATTATCTTTCACACAATCCATCCATATTTTTAGGACGTGACGTAGTATTTATTATTCTATTAAAAATAATAGAATTAGTAGAAATATCATTAGGTACGGTAGATAAGACAGATAATTATATTTGCCGCATTATTACCTATTAATGTGCAACCAATTAGAATTAGAACTTTGCAGTACGAAGTTTAATAATTGGTAATTAAATCCATCCGTAATCAATATGCAGACTGGATGTAGATTACGATAGAAGTAGTCTAAATAATTAAAAGCAAAAATACAAACTTTTTTTAGTAGGTACTCTGATGCTTCACCAGACGATAGGGGGTGAGCGCAGATGGCACTGCAAATCCGTGGAAGGACTTATGGAGCGGCTGAAAGCCAATTCTCGCCTGACGGCCATCATAATTTCGATCCCCGTTTGAATTGGACGGAGATAGATCGGGGGGATGCACAATACAAACCGTAATACAATATTTATACAAATCGCCTGCGGAGTACCGCCATCTCACCTATTTTGTTTTTTCGTGGATGCTAATGGAATGGTGCACCTGCCTGCGCTGAATGTGTACGCTGGCGGGGTACCAGTGTAGACTGATAATATGAACATAAGGTCAGGTCAGTTAGTCCATCATGACAAATTCACTAGGATGGTTTCCAGGGGGAACCGCGTGGAGGTCAACGTGATATGGTACATTGCTAGCAATGGGGTCATCTGTCCACATTATTAACAATTCCCTTCCCCTCTATGTGGGTTATTTGGGATGACTGATGATCATCTTCACCATTGCTATTTCATGCAGCACGTTGCTCGCTAGCTAGTGCTAATCGGTAGTTTGTATTCACACACTTAAACTTAAATTGTAAGTAAGATTAAATTATTTAAAAGAGCAACACACAAGTTTCTTGCTTGTTCTTCTTGTGGTAAGACAGCTTTCCGAATGAGCGATATATTAAAAAAAAAAGTGATGACTATTCAAAAGTGCTTCAATGTAAGTTTATTTGAATAAATGTTTTTCTATTCTATTCTATTCTAAAATAGTACAAGCACGCGTGCTGCTTGTAGGGACTGGTCTGATAACTATGACTTATTTATTTTATGACCCAAGTAAATATTTTAGAATAGAATAGAATAGAAAAACATTTATTCAAATAAACTTACATTGAAGCACTTTTGAATAGTCATCACTTTTTTTTTTAATATATCGCTCATTCGGAAAGCTGTCTTACCACAAGAAGAACAAGCAAGAAACTTGTGTGTTGCTCTTTTAAATAATTTACGAGTATAACGAGTATAACGGGTGAGCCAGTCATCAATGATAAATAGATAATTTTATCAACAAATGATCATCATTTGTTGATAAATTATCTATTTATCATACGCGAGTACCAAGCCACGGCACCTTTATATCTACACAAATAAAGAACAAAAGAGATCGTAATATTATAAACCAAAAAGTTTGTGAGTATGGGTGAATGGATGGATGTATATATGAACTCTTTTACCCAAAAACTACTATTACAGTAATATTGTAGCATATATAATATTTGGTATAATCTATATCTAAATATATATAACTCAAAGGTGACTGACGTAGTGATCTATCATCAACACACAGCCCCAAACCACTGGACTGATCGGGCTGAAATTTGGCATGCAGGTAGATGTTATGACGTAGACGTGTAATCTATACATATAAATAAAATTGGAATATCTGTTTGTAATATAGAAATAACCATTTTTTACTACATGCGTATGAATATAAATACGATACGTACACCAAAATAACATTTTTTACTATTTTTGTCTGTCTGTCTGTCTGTTTGAAATGGCTGGACTGGACATCTAGTAATGCTACGTTTACATTCAGCCGCTTCCCCTGCCAGTCGCGCTGGCGGAAATATTGCCGAGCGACAACTGAGCGAGAGGGCTGAATGTAAAAACACGCTGCCACTCGTGCTGCCATTTCTTTGACTTGCGCACGAAAAACCGACAATCGAGGGAGCGCCGGGCAGCGCGAGTGGCATGGGAAGTGTTTCCACTCTCGCGCTGCTCACATTCATGCTCACTTCCCTGCCCACTCGGGCTGAGTGTAAATTGGGCATAAAAGATAAACTGCACCTGTTCTCAGATATCCTATGGAAATTCACTTTGTTCATGTTCGCTCCGACCTCGCTGTTGTCGATGCCTTGAAGAACAAAGACGGTCTCGCTGTGGTATCTGTGTTTTGCAATGTAAGTGACTTTCTAGTCTATAATGAAATATTATAGGAGATCAAACCTCTTTTTTAAACTCTGCCACTGAGAACACTGCTTACTGGAAACTCAATAATCTTAACTTAATCTTAATAATAATATATGTAATTGCTAAAGTTTGTAAGTATGTATGTTTGTTACTCTTTAACGCAAAAACTACTGAACGGGTTTTGATGAAACTCTATAGTAATAGAGCCTATGCATCAGAATTACGCACAGGCTATATTTTTCATTGAAATTTAACGCGGGTTCGGGCACAGCTAGTAAAAAATAAAACGTGGTAAAATCCCGTGATTTTCTTAATTTTACGTATAAATATTGACCACATTTTGATGTTATTAATATACAGGTCCAAGCAGAACTAGATGAGTATCAGCAGGAGTCTACGAAGGAAGTTATGGAACACATTCCTAAATTGTTGGAACCTGGAAAGAGAATCAGTGGAATCATTCTGGATATGAGGTAATTGATGCACGATAAAGTCAACAAATGTTAATCTCAGTTATTGCATAGCATTACTTATTGACTAAATCTCTAGATCCAAATCTCTACTGGTTTAGCACACCGCTTTACTTCCGATGGTTGCACGTTCAATTCGTCGCGGGGTACAAACATTTGTATACATGAGTGTAAAGTATGACGTTTTTATCGGTCTGGGTGTTTACAATGTATATTATGTATGTGTTTACAAAAAAAAATGTATCTATATATTTATTATAGTTGTTTCGTACCAGCAACACAAGCTCTGATTACATTGGGACTATATGACGTTATGTGCATTGACCAGGGGTATTTCCTATTATCGAGTGCGAAGCAATTTTAGAAATCAGATTTGCACTCTTTGTAACGATACTCCTCCGAAAGGGAACGGTCGAGACCAAAATTTCATCGCAGGCCGACCTTCTGGCCTCCATTATTTACCACTCAAAAAAATTCCGATTTATCAAAGTCGAGATTTTAAGAATAATCGTCCCTACCACGATTCCACATATTCCCATATGTTACATCAAAATAATAATTGCATTTAATAATGCCTAGTAAGACATTATTATTGTCTACTAAGCATTATTAAATGCAATTATTATTAAGACTATGAGACACAGTCACCTAGATACATCAAAATAATAATTGCATTTAATAATGCCTAGTAGGACAAATCCAATATTGTGTACTAAGCACTGCCGTGTCTAAACTGTGTCACCCCACCTTACATTTTCCTATTGTCATTTAGTATATAAGATCAATATGCAATATGCGCGTTTACCGCTAAAAAGATTCCATCCATCCAAGGAGAGTGTCTTGAAAGTGAGGAGATACGATAATCTCCTCACTTTCAAGACACTCTCCTTGATGTGAAGCCAAATCTCAAGGTCCTTGGCGTTGATATATCCAGTGACGTTCAGTTTTGAGGTCATTTGGAGGACAAGGCTAAAATAGCCACAAAAAAGCCTGGTGTGCTCAGTAGAGTGAGACGGTATTTCACGGCGGCCCATCGCTTGCAATTATACAAGGCGCAGATCCGGCCGCATATGGAATACTGTTCTCATCTCTGGGCGGGAGCACCACAATACCAGCTACTTCCATTTGACCGCATTCAGAACCGAGCAGCCAGAATCATTGGTAATCAACGTCTATGTGACAGACTCGACCCATTGGCTTTGCGGCGAGATATTGCATCTCTGTGCATTTTCTACTGCATATATCACGGGGAGTGTTCTGAGGAATTGTTCGGATTAATACCAACTGCTGAGTTTCACCACCGTACCTTCCTCCAGAAACTGAAATACCATCCTGATCATCTGGATGAATGGCGGTCTTCCACAGTGCGGTTTTCTAGAAACTTTTTGCCTGGCACAACCACATTGTGTAATCACCTACCAGCAATGGTATTTCCGAACCGATACGATATTGAAACCTTCAAGAAAAGAGCTTATTCCTTCTCAAGCGGCCGGCGATGCACTTGCAATTCACCTGGTACTGCAGTTGCTCATGGGCGCCGGTAATCACTTACCATCAGGTGAGCCGCATGCTCGTTTGTCCCCCGTGTTATAAAAAAATAATCAATATTTCTATGTACATCATCATCATCATCGCAGCCCGGAAGACGTCCACTGCTGGACATAGGCCTATGTACATATTGTCAGTCAACTGTAATGTACATCGTCTTGACCAACAACATCGTATCATTCACCCGCAACACTACACACACACGACACCGTCCTCGCCGGCGAAGACGACGGCCTCAACCGCACATTACCGCGCAATCAACCGGGGCGCCTGCGCGCGGCCGGGCACTCCGCACCGGGGGCCCCGGGGCCCCCCCCCCCCCCCCGATCGATCCCCCATCCAATTCAAATGGGGATCGAAATTATGGCCACCTTAATGGAGGATCGAACCATTAGCGGTACGCTGAGACTAAAGTCGTATCTGTCAGGCGGGAGTTGGCCTTCAGCCACTCCATAAGTACTTCCGTCCATCTGCACTCGTCCCCTATCGTCCGGTGAAGCTGTAAAGGCCAACTACGGCCAACAGCATTAGAGTAGTCCGACAAAAAACACCAGTATCATACCTATAGTTATTATTATAGACTATGTTCTAGTGTAAGCTGTAAGATATTACAGGAAAATGCTAATGACATCAATAGATGTAACGATATGACGAACAGTACCGGTTACATCCGTAAATACTTATTTCACTGAGCTTCCTTTAATCCCTTTATATTCGTTTAATCTATGAATTAAACTATCTAGCCCTTTCTACGAACGTAACAAGGAAATATTATTTTTAACAATTGATAGATATAGTTTTTGACTCATACTGTTGTTATATCATGAGTCATTTAGAGAAATTTAAGCAAATATTGTCTATTAAATATCCTCAATCAATAGATATGGAAGAAAGAAAAGAAGAAGAAAGAAAATATCCATATTTTACCACTGCAGCTCAAAATTTTTAGATATTCATTATATTATTTTTACTAGCGATACCCACGAATTCGGCCGCGTCGGTGAATTAAACTCTATTTTTCTAATATAAAAGTAGCCTAAGTTACTCCTTATTACATCAGCTACCTGCCATAAAAGTCCCGTCAAAATCGGTCCAGCCATTTCAGAGATTAGCCGGAAGAAAAAGACAGACAGACAGACAAAAATTGTAAAATTGTAAAAAATGGTTATATCAATATTACAAACAGGCACTTCAATTTTATTTGTATGTATAGAGTAGTGATTGCGGGTGTGCGCGGACCTCACGAGGCCCGCGGGTCTGTGTTGCAAATTTTTTTTATGAAGACGGTTTTCTTTTCGAATAGACTTGGTTGGCAAGTAGATTCGTCTGTTTTATCAAAATACGATTAGGTGACTTCCTATTGTAACAGTGAATTTCTGTTTCATGTGTACCATATATACCTGTGGCGAAACTTTGTATTGTAATGATCACAATACAAAACCTAACCTATCCTGTCATCTATCAACTTGACTGTCGACACTCGACTCTGGACACTTGACACTCTACACTCGACACTCGGCACTCGACACTTGACACTCGACAGTCGACACTTGACCGTCGCCTCTCGATACTCGACACTCGGCACTTGATCGTAGACACTCGACCCTTGGCCGCTGACTCCCGACACTTGTCTGTCGACACTTGACACTCGACAATCGACACTCGCCACTCGACACTCGAAACTTCACACTCGACACTCGACACTCGACACTCGATACTCGACACTCGCCACTCGACACTCGGCACTCGTCACTTCACACTCGACACAAGACACTCAACACTTGAAATTGATTGTTGAAACTCGACACTCGACACTTGACCGTTGACACTCGACACTCGGTACCCGACACTCGACACTCATCTCACGACACTCGACATTTGACGGGCGACTCTCAAAACTTGGCTGTCTACACTCGACACTTGATCGTAGACACTCGACACTCGACACTCGACACTCAACACTCGACACTCGACACTTGACAATCGATACTCGACACTCGACACTCGACACTCGACACTTGACACTCGGCACTCGACACTTGACAATCGACACTCGATACTCAACACTCGACACTCGACACTCGACACTAGACATTGATTATTGACACTCGAACCTTGGCCGCCGACTCTCGACACTAGACACTTGATCGTAGACACTCGACACTCGGCACTCTAGACTCGACACTCGACACTCGACACTCGGCACTCGACACTTGACAATCGACACTCGATACTAACACTCGAGACTCGACACTCGACACTAGACATTGATTATTGACACTCGAACCTTGGCCGCCGACTCTCGACACTAGACACTTGATCGTAGACACTCGACACTCGGCACTCGACACTTGACAATCGACACTAGACATTGATTATTGACACTCGACACTCGACACTTGACAGTTGACACTCGACACTCGGTACCCGACACTCGACACTCATCTCACGACACTCGACATTTGACGGGCGACTCTCAAAATTTGGCTGTCGACACTCGACACTTGATCGTAGACACTCGACACGCGACACTCGACACTCGACACTCGACACTCGACACTTGACAATCGATACTCGACACTCGACCCTTGGCCGCCGACTCTCGACACGTGACTGTCGACACTCGACACTCGGCACTCGACACTTGACAATCGACACTCGATACTCAACACTCGACTCTCGACACTCGACACTCGACACTCGACACTCGACACTCGGCACTCGACACTTGACAATCGACACTCGATACTCAACACTCGACACTCGACACTCGGCACTCGAAACTCGGCACTCTAGACTCGACACTCGACACTCGACACTCGGCACTCGACACTTGACAATCGACACTCGATACTAACACTCGAGACTCGACACTCGACACTAGACATTGATTATTGACACTCGAACCTTGGCCGCCGACTCTCGACACTAGACACTTGATCGTAGACACTCGACACTCGGCACTCTAGACGCGACACTCGACACTCGACACTCGGCACTCGACACTTGACAATCGACACTCGATACTCAACACTCGACTCTCGACACTCGACACTCGACTCTCGACACTCGACACTCGACACTCGGCACTCGACACTTGACAATCGACACTCGATACTCAACACTCGACACTCGACACTCGGCACTCGAAACTCGGCACTCTAGACTCGACACTCGACACTCGACACTCGGCACTCGACACTTGACAATCGACACTCGATACTAACACTCGAGACTCGACACTCGACACTAGACATTGATTATTGACACTCGAACCTTGGCCGCCGACTCTCGACACTAGACACTTGATCGTAGACACTCGACACTCGGCACTCTAGACGCGACACTCGACACTCGACACTCGGCACTCGACACTTGACAATCGACACTCGATACTAACACTCGAGACTCGACACTCGACACTAGACATTGATTATTGACACTCGAACCTTGGC